GAATTTCATTTGTAGGCGATGTTACGTGAATGTCATCCAATCTGCATCAAGCAGCCGGTCAAGATATCGCCAGTTGTTCAAAATACATCTGACTCGCTCAACAAAACAAATCCAAGGCTGATATAGTTGTACTGGGTTTTTCCACGACCGTCGATTAGGCCAATCATCAAAACTCATCATCAACAAGCTGACCTACTATTGATTTGACCATAAAGCAACTAACTATTTATGGTAATTAATGGAGATGCTTCCGAAAATGTCCTCTCCGGGGCTCCTCAAGGATCACCATTAGGCCTGACTCTGTTCCTACTCTATATCGATAACGATAACGACTGTCTCGTGTATCGTGAAAGTACCCTCCGGAATGGTCGGGAATTACTCCAGGAAGATCTCGATTCGGAACAAGTGCTCGGCGAAGTGGCAGACTAAACAAGATCTGTATTCTAGTACATGTATTGCAAAACGTTCGTCCATGTGTGGAATTAATTGAGAGTTGTCCTCAGCCCAGGATATACCAAAGTCTATAAAATTGGTAGTTGTCACATTGATGTATAACCTGTGGAACGATCAGCATTTACGGTACGACAATCAATTGGTTTACCCGCTGTCAGTATAATGTGACCAGATCAGAAATGGCATGGTACAATGTTATTTCAGTGAGGCTGCACTCTAAAGCCGACATCGGAACCGTGTTTTAGCAAGTAGGCAAATGCGCCAAAATAACGCCTCCAGCACAAATGGAAGCACGCCTGAGAATTTGTTACATCTATATTTTGACCTAAACTAAGGTGTTCAGAGTAATTTTACACGTTTTAGTGGTTTAGATCAACTTTCGGTAAACAGTGCCACCCCAATGATGATAATTATATGCGAGATGGTTGGAAAGATATCGATGTCGAAAAATCAACCCCACCTAACCTTCTTCCATAAAAAAAAACACATTTCAAGTTGATGTATGAAAATTACCTTAGTACTGTTGAAAGATGGATAACTTTTCTTTTAAAACCTCCTATATGCACGTAAAATGTTTTCTCCTCCCGCGGCAAGATCTCCGTTTCCTCCACAAATACACGCCATTTCCGAGTTTCAAAGTTTTTCGAAGTCAAAAAGCCACACTTTCCCCCTTATTTATGACTAAATAAACTTAATGACTTTATGAGCTATATATTGTCACCAGTACGCTAAATTTTGTACAGTACTCTTATACCTTAACCTTCGAGCAGCTAAATACGAAAACTGGGGCCTTCTTAAAAGCGTCTTCAAACGTCTTCAAGTGACAACAAGCGTCATCAGACAAAGTCTTTAAAAATACCAAATAAAGTAAGCGACATCAGAAGATATGTTGTTAATATGACTATAATACACCTTTATACCAAATTTGAATTTGATATTTGAACAAGAGTCCCAATGGGCCTGTACGTACCGCTCACCTGGTATTAATCTCACACTTGTAATCTTAAAAGTGGACTAAAATACAGCTACAGGTAGAATATCAATGTTTGATTCATAAGAACCTATTAAAAGATTTAAACATATGACGCCTGTGACCTTGAATGTCGAACAAGGACATTAGGTTGAGTTTATAGTCTTCCAACCCAGCATGCTCCTGGCAAAATATCATTACCATGGACCTTTTGGTTATACAAAACAATTCATTTAAAGATTTAAACATATATTGACCACTGTGACATTGACTATGGGCGAAGGTCATTCACTTGGTAGTCCTTCATCCCAGCATGCTAATGGCCAAATATCATCACCCTTGGTCTTGAATATATGTCAAGGTCATTCATTTTAACAAACTTGGTAGTCCTTCATCCCAGCATGTTACTGGCATTATTCTAGGCCTCTTGATTATTCAGAAGAAGTTGTTTAAAGGTTTAATACATATATAACCCCTGTGACCTTGAAAAAAGATGAAGGTCGTTCATTTGAACAAACTTTGTATCCCTTTATCCCATCATGCTACTAGCCAAATATCATCACCCTATGCCTCTTGGTTATTCAAAAGCAGTTCTTTTAAAGGTTTTTAACATATTCAACCCTTGTGAACTTGAATATAAGTTTATTCATTTGAACAAACTTGGTAGCCTTTCATGATACTGGCAAAATCTCCTCACCTTATACCTCTTGGTTATTCAGAAGAAGTTGTAAAAAGTATTTTTTCATTTGGACAAACTCAGTAGTCCTTTATTCCAGCATGTTACTGGCCAAATATCATCCTAGGCATTTGGTTATTTAGAAGAAGTTGTATTACAGGTTTTTAACATATTTGACCCCTGTGACCTTGAATATAAGTCAAGGTCATTTATTTGAACAAACTTGGAAGCCCTTCATCCTAGCATGCAACAGACCCAATATCAGTACCCTGTTTTTTTTGGTTATTGAGAAATTGTTTGAAGATCTTAACATATTTGTTTGAAGATTTTAAGACATTTGACCCCTGTGACTTTGAAAGTTGGTCAAGGTTATTCATTTGAACAAACTTGGTAGCCCTTATCCCAGCATGCTACCGGCCCAATATCAGTACCCTGGGCCTTTTGGTTATTGAGTTGAAGTTGTTTGAAGATATTAAGACATTTGACCCCTGTGATCTTGAAAGTGGGTCAAGGTCATTCATTTGAACAAACTTGTTAGCCTTTTCATCCTAATAGGGCTAATATCAGTACGCTGGGCCTTTTGGTTATTGAGAAGATGTTGTTTAAAGTAAAATATTGACGCCGGACGACGGACGGACGACGGACGCCGCACAATGGCATAAGCTCACTTAGCCCTTCGGGCCTGGTGAGCTAAAAATTGACCGAGTTATGATGAATACGGAATTAATATACCATCAGAGCAAGTCAGTGAAACAATGTTTATACAGCAATATGATTCGGGCGGGCCGTGTACGTTCAGCTATACGATCGAAGTCCTACGTACATGTACACATATGTGACACGCCGAGAGCTTCATACGTGTACTACTAAATACTTCACGATAACTCGGGTCATTTGATCAAATATCGATCTGAAACTTTGTATGAAGGTGTGTTGTAGTCATATGAATAACATCTCTTCTCATGTCGCTTACTTTATAGGTTAATTTTAGAGGTAAAGTCTGAAGACGCTTCACGATCTGTAGAGTTATATATTCACACACGTGGGCCACGCCGCGGATCGTAAAAATTCAATTCATCAAAACTTTTTTGAATATAAAATTCAAATTTGGTATAGAGGTGTATTATAGTCATATTAACAAAATATCTTCTGATGTCGCTTACTTTATTCAGTATTTTCAAAGATTTTTTCTGGCAAGCTTGTTGTCGGCTGAAGACGCTTTTAAGGGTGACCGCTAAAACTCTCATGTTTATAAATCAATAGTTAGACAGCCGATAGGCAATAACAGTATTTATATTTCTGGGACAGTATACGTATCATAGACAGGTCGAGGAGTCTGGCTAGGTAAAGTACAAACAAAGCCTCAGGGACAACCGGATGATGACCCTGGTCTCGCAAGGATTTCAGCATAAGATCACATTTGATGTAGATGACCTTTGTCCGAGGAATGTCCTAATGGACTACCTGCTGGTCTGGGTACATAGCGAGGGATTGTTGATCGAGACTGTCCAGTGCTTTAGTTTATACATTGTATATACATTTGTACATGTATAGTAATTTGTACTATAGCCGAACTTCTTATACGCCTTCCTAATCCTCTTTGGCTCCCGAATGTCAATGATCGATTATATAACAAATGTATTGCTTCAATGACCCTTTTCGTCTGAAATGATAAAGGAAAGCTTAGAGATGCCACGTAGTGCCGCCCCTCAATATTTACATTATATTTCCGGTGGTTTTTTTAAACTGTTCATCAAAGCACTTGACGGTGTGTTTCAGGTTTTCTTTATCGACTGCATGACCAGCTTCTTCGTATGAAGTAGTGCTGTTGTGTTCGAACCGCTCCGCACTTGTTTGCAATCCCTAAAACGCTTCAAAACGGCAATTGAAAAAAGTAGGTCAAGGTCATTTGTTTGAAGAAATGTATAACACTCTCTCCCAGGTACTTACTGGCCAAATAGTATTACTCTTGGCCTCTTGGTTTTTCAAAAGTTGTTTAAATATTTGACCCCTGTGACCAGGAAAGTAGGCAAAGGTAATTTATTTGAAGAAATATTATCGCATTTCATGCCAGGTACCTACTGACCAAGCAGTATTACTCTGGGCCTCCTGGTAATTCATCAGTAGTTGTTTAAAGGCTTTTACATATTTGACCCGTGGCTTGGAAAGTAGATCAAGGTCAGTTATTTGAGGAAACATTATCACACTTCATGCAACAGTACCTATTGGCCAAGCAATATTACTCCGGGCCTCCTGATAATTCATAAGAAGTTGTTACATATTTGAATCGTGACCTGCAAAGTAGGTCAATGTCATTTATTTGAGGAAACTTTATAGCAATATGTCCCGGTTACCCAATAACGTTGCTTTATGGCTCCTGGTTATTCATCTAGACGAAGTTGTTTAAAGATTTCTTTTAAATTTGGAACCCTGTGACCTTGAAAGTAGGTCAAGATCATTTATTTGAGGACATGTTATAGCACTCAGTCCCAGGTACCTACAGGCCAGTTTTCATTACTCTAGGACTGCTGGTTTTTCAGGAGATATTCAAAGGTTTTAAACACATTTGACCTTGAAAGTAGGTCAAGGTCATTTATTAAAGGAAACCGTATAGCACTTCATACCAGGTCCTCCAGTTCCTAAAAAGTTGTTCAAGGGAAAAAGTTCAAAGATAACGGACAAAACACCATACCATCAGCTCAACCAAAAGAAGGAAGACAAAATAAAATCCTGATTAGAGTATCGATTGTATATTTGTGATTTAATGGCATTCTAATTGAGTAAACGTTTATCAAGCTACAAATTCAGGTAAATTTTGGTTCACAGATTAATGAATTTTAGTTCACAGATTAATGAATTTTGAAGTAGAATGTTTACCATAAGAAAAAAAAAATCACTACATTTGTTTTAGAACATCACATCACTTTTATTTTGTTCAGAAGTACACAAACATACATAAACATTCATACAAAGACACCATGGACTAAATATCATAGGTAGTGTCGACCAACGCTCGGCCATTTCCGTGAAATTCGGCGTAAAAGGACGAAGATACATGTATATCCGATTGATGCCGTGCTTTTAAGTTTTTAACATATGGTACATCATAAAATTTGACACTTTGTGACGGTTTGCAATGGTACAACTGACTAGTAAGGCCTAAATTCCAAACGTACCGACGACCAGGAAAATGTTAAGTCTCAGTATGATGTGATATTAATCGTGAAAACATGTCTGATTGGTTTAACGTTACGGAAGACATGTTTAATGTTTTAATTGCTGTTTTTAAACCTTTTTTTCTAAATTTTTCCTGGCCAACAGCACAGAAACAGGCGGGTACATTTCGATCACGAATTAGAAAAAACATGTTTTTTTGATTTTTCAATTATATATGACGGAAATACGTACACCACGAAATTTTAGTTTACAGACACATATAAAGCATACCTATAGATATACACACACACACATATATATATCCTATTACAATTGAGTGGTTATGATTAAATAGAACAGCCATCTATATGGTATAGAGGTATAAACAAAATATTATCGTTTAGAATTAAATCATGCAGACTTTTATTAATATTAGGCAGAATCTAAAATGACATGTTTTTTTTATCATGTAAAGAGGTTTGTTGTTGACTTTTAATCATATATGTTATGCATAGATACAGGAAACACGTAGCTCTACCATACAAATGTACAACTTCTAAATGAAGTATAGCTAAATTAAACCCCTACACCTGGTCGCTACACCATCTTACTCACACCTGATAAAGGAACACACAATTAACATACAGTTAGCACTGAACACTACAATTAAAACCAAAATGGCACTTTTTTTCTATGATGAACTTGTCCAACTCTTACTGCTATTAACCCATTCACCCCTAAAGTCACATTTGAACCTTGCCAAATCAAAGACTGGGCAAGTCCAGTTTAAATATGTAGGTGTGAATGAGTTAGACAAGGTGCCATGAGAGATTTGAGGAAGACATTTTCACCCACTTTAAAATTTGCATATGGTAAAAATAAAGTCAAAATGACTAATGAATTTATTTTATCCAGGTTTTAGGATTTTAACTTTTTTTCTTTTTTTAAATAAAAGAAGAATGCTCAAAGAAGGACCCCACTTATATTTGGAATGATATACATATATATGGGAGCCCATTAAAGTTCTTAACAAAAACAAATCACAAGTATGAAAGTGTTAAAAAATCTTAATGGCATTTGTGTATATAAACAGAATACAAAATTCTTAAAAGCAAAAACAAAAAAATGAAAATTGAAGAGAGGAAGGGAATGTGGCCACTGAACATTCATGTACACACACTTACACACTGTCCGGAGATATAAACAAGCAAAATGTCTAGCTTATATCTTATAATCATTGACAACGTTTTGTAGCTGGTTCATCAGGCACTTTGCATACAAAATTATCAAGGATAATAAGACACGTGGTTTTTTTACAGAGGTGAATCTTATCTAAACTGTTTCCCTGCATTTTTTTCTTAACTACCTCCCTTAAAAAATACCCAATGAAAATTGCATATCATTTGTTTTCTACCTCAATTCTTAAACATGCGTATTTAAAAAGTATTAAAGCAAAAAGGAAATATATATGTGCCTTACGATAAGGTCCTGTACACAAGTGGGTGTTTTGTGACAGTGATGGGCAATACTTTTTATATAAAATTACAAAACGGAAATGATGTAGCCAATTCAAATTATTCGTAAAACATCCTACCGAGTGCAACTATAAAAATTCTTAGGGGAAATCGTAGGAATAAATGACAAATAGTTTTAATGTATATTAAGTTTGGTATACAACACTTCTAAAGACACTAACTTTAAACCTATTACACACTGCATGGTCTTATAATATTTGTACCTTCCTGGTACGAAAAACATAGTTTCTTTAAACAATGAAGGTATTGATGTTCAAATACCATACACATATACACAAAGTATTTAGATCGTGAAATATGCATCATAGGTCGCACACAACTCAATTCTAGGGTTGTTGTTATCCTGGTTTATTAAACATGCGAACATTTTAATTTGAGGTGCTGTTTTTCCACTGACACTAACGTTGAATACAGAACACAGCTCCAGTGATCCTGAAATCTATTGTCAAAAGATCGCCTTTGTCTGTTCCACTTCAGAATGACTTTGGAGTTTTTGTTAGTGTGAACAAAATTAATATCTTTTAAACCTCATTGCATTGGGCTAACAGGTTCAACCACTGTCAGAACAACAAAAGGCAAACAGATTACATACTTAGAACAAAACCTCTTTATCTACAACTGTTACTAATTATGCGAAAAAGTTATCTGATATTATGTTTTGACAAGTGTTTTAGTAATGGTAAATGGGAAATATTTTCAAATTATGTTAAAATAAAAGTTGCTTTTTTTCATTTGATGACTATGTGATTAAAATATAAAATATCAAAAGATAATAAGACATTTAAAAAAATGGCAAGATATTTGTTTAAAAATTAAAAATGCAAATTAAGTGGTGTACAGCATAGATTGTGGGTTTGAGGAAAAACATGGTCATCTCAACTATTGTGTAGTCATGTGACTTGTCACATGATCAATTTTAATAATTCACCAACCATGTGACCCTTCACATGGTCATCAAAAGTACTACTGTGTAGTCATGTGACTTGTCACATGATCATTTCTGGAACTTGGCCAGACATGTAATCCATGACGTCACATGTGTCACCTCCCAAAAGTATGTTGTTATTGCTGTTGTCGTTACAAATATCTTTGCTACCCCAATATAAATATCAATGTTGACCTTTACACTGCTGACCTTTGAACTGCTGACCTTTACACGCCTGACCTTTAATTTGTTACCCGAGATTGATTTTTTTTTCTAATGACAATGCTTTTTTCAGGAGAATCAAAATGTTTATGTAAACACTCTGATCATATGGAGTATGAGGGTCATGGTTTCCAATATTTGCTGCCAATCCAGATCAGTAAAATGTGAACGCTATCAGATGGTAATTGTAGGTCATTCAGCTCTGTAACTTTTAATCCCTGGAACTGTCCTCTTTACAGGAAAATGGCGGCAACCACCAGCACAAGGCTTGTCCAAACACTGCTCATCAGCATACCTGCTCCACTGACATCTAAACAAACAAAAATAAGGACGAAGATTTAGTATTGCTTCCACTAATTACCCTTAAATACAATCTACAAAATCAACTATGTGGATAATCAGATGTTTTTTAAAAAATAGTATATTAACTCATTCACCCCTGAAGACACATTTGAACTCTTCCAATTCAAAGGTTGGAATAGTTCATTATGAATTTTTATGGGTGAATGAGTTAAGTAGTGATGTTCAAAGTAACCGATTAAATTGACAGTTATTTTTTTTATCTTTGACTATGACTAATCAATCGTTTAATTTCTCTGATCGATCATGGTTTGACTATAACTTTCAGGAGTTATTTAGATTTGACACAGACCTGAAAACTGATTAAACAATTTTACTTGTAACTTTGGGATGTCATACTCAATTCTGGAATACAATAATTATGACTCCAGAATACAATGCTAATATTATCAGACTGCATGTGTTCAACCTCAAACTTGGTTTTTCTAATGCTTGAATATTCTTATTATCGTGTCACTGCTATTTCTCAAGATGTTTTTGATAGACCTTTCTCAAATTTCTGATGAATGTTTCTCCAAGTTTTGCATATTCCATTTTTGGACTAATTGGGAAAAAAACAAAATGGATGTCAGGCAGCCATCTTGCATTTTTAGAGTTAAAGCTTGTTATCGCTATTTCTCAAGAAGAACATGACAGCTCTTTCTCAGATTTTCCAGGAAGGTTGCCCTTAGTCCATAGCTGTTCATATTTCATTTTGAAACTAATCTGAGTAAGTCCTTTAGGGACTGATCAGTAAAACAAGATGGCCACCAAGATTTTGAGTGTCAACCCTTGTTGATGCTATTTAACAAGACGTACTTGACAGATCTTTCTTAAATTTCATTTGCATGTTTCCCTTGGTCCATCTTAGTGCATTTATTGTTTACGATCAATCAGAATCATGTGTTGTTCTAATTTTTCAAGGTCAATCACAATGTCATCTCAGCAAGCAGTTTGGTGTTCGTGTATCACGCATTTCCTGTTTGATTAAAATGCTGTCCTAAAATCGAAGTTGACATTCAAGGGTAATGTCACGACCTAAACACAGTGCAATACGCCTGTCTCACCCGAGAAACCATTTTCAAACAGTAAGTAAGCCTTGCAAAATTTACCAAAAAAGGCTGTGTTCACCAAATAAAATTGAAATTCAATAATAATTTCCACCAAAATGACCATCGTCGTTGCCAATCGAACTCTTGTTGTTGACATTTGCATGTGTGGTTATAGGAATTAATTTCGTCTCTCTAAAAGTCGGCAATAAACATGCTGTTCGCCATGTTTCTATTGATGCTGTCTAATACCTGCACCAGTATCCAGACTGATTTTCAGGAGCAAATATACATTTTTTGTGTTTTTGTTTTTGTTTTCGTTTTGTTCAAGATTCAATATAAATCTGTTGTGATGTTTCCCCTATTGGGCCCCGCCCATCAGGCCCCTGGGGGGGGGGGGGGGGGCCAGACCCACAGTTTATACAAAATTGGTTCCCCTTCACCCAAGGATGCTTCAGAATAAATATGGAACCAATTCTTTTTTCATTCCTACAGAAGATGAGGGATTTTTAAAGAATTTGCTATATTTCCCCTATTGGGCCCCGCTCCTCAGCCCCCAGAGGGGCCAGACCCACCATTTATACAAGATTTGTTCCCCTTTCCCCAAGGATGTTTTTGACCATATATGGAACAAATCCCTTAATCCCTAGGGTAGAAGAAGGATTTTAAAGGTTTTAGCTTGATTTCCCCTATTGGGCCCCGCCACTCAGCCCCAAGGGGGGCCACACCCACCATTTATACAAAATGTGTTCCCCTTCCCACAAGAATGCTTCTGACCAAATATGGAACAAATCCTTTCATTCCTACAGAAGAAGAAGGATTTTAAAGGTTTTACCTCTATTTCCCCTATTGGGCGCCGCCCCGCCCCTCAACCCCCAGGAGAGCCAGACCCCCCATTTATACAAATTGAGTCCCCTTGGCTCAAGGATGCTCATGAAAAAATTAGGATAAAATCCCTTAATCCCTACAGTAGAAGAAGGATTTTAAAGGTTTTACCTCTATTTCCCCTCATTGGCCCCGTCCCTCTGCCCCCAGGGGGGCCACAAAATTGAGTCCCCTTAGCCTAAGGATGCTCCTGTCCAAATTTAGTCAAAATCTACTTGGCCGTTCAGAACTAGTAGCGTTTTAAAGGTAAAATGACAGTTAAAAATGGATTTCAAAGGTTTTACCTCTATTTCCCCTATTGGGTTAACGTTCCGCCCCTCTGCCCTGGGGGCCACATCCACCGTTTATACAAAATTGAGTCCCCTTGGCCCGAGAATGCTTCAGACTAAATTAGGATAATAAAACTTTATCCCTATTGTAGAAGAAGGATTTAAAAAAAAATCCTCTATTACCTCTAATCTCTGTCCCTAGGGGGGAGGGGCCTATAAGGATGCTTGTTTCCAAATTGGGATGAAATCCCTTTATCCCTATGGTAGAAGAAGGAACAAGAAAATGTTTTATCTCTATATCCCCTAAAGGGTCCCGCTCCTCTGCTCCTAAAGGGGGGGGGGGGGGGGGCCCCACACCCATGCACCATGTATATGAAATTGAGTGCCCTTGGCCTAAGGATGCTCTAGACTAAATTTAGTTAAAATCCACTAAGTCAGGACTAAAAGTGTTTTAAAGGAAAAGTTATGGTATAAGCAAAAAAAGTGCGCTAATTAGCGACCCTACAAAACCTACTACATGGCCTTTGAGGAACGTTCAGACACCATACAATACCTACCACATGGGTCCTGGCCTTTGAGGAACGTTCTGACACAAACACAGTACAATACCTACCACATGGGTCCTGGCCTTTGAGGAACGTTCTGACACCGTACAAAAACCTACCACATGGGTCCTGGCCTTCGAGGAACGTTCCGACACCGACACTGCACAATACCTACCACATGGGTACTGGCCTTTGAGGAACGTTCAGACAACGTACAATACCTACCAAATGGGTCCTGGCCTTTGAGGAACGTTCTGACACCGTACAATACCTACCAAATGGGTCCTGACCTTTAGGGAACGTTCTGACACCGTTCAATACCTACCACATGGGTCCTGGCCTTTGAGGAACGTTCTGACACCGTACAATCCCTACCACATTGGTCCTGGCCTTTGAGGATCGTTCTGACAACGTACAATACCTACCACACGGGTCCTGGCCTTTGAGGATCGTTCAGACAACGTACAATACCTAACACATGGGTCCTGGCCTTTAAGGAACGTTCCGACAGCGTACAATACCTTCCACATGGGTCCTGGCCTTTGCGGAACGTTCTGACACCGTTCAAAAACCTACCACATGAGTCCTGGCCTTTGAGGAACGGTCAGACAACGTACAATACCTACCACATGGGTCCTGGCCTTTGAGGAACGTTCCGACAGCGTACAATACCTACCACATGGGTCCTGGCCTTTGAGGAACGTTCTGACACCGTACAAAAACCTACCACATGAGTCCTGGCCTTTGAGGAACGTTCTGACACCGTACAATACCTACCACATGGGTCCTGGCCTTTGAGGAACGTTCAGACACCCTACAATACCTACCACATGGGTGCTGGCCTTTAAGGAACATTCTGACACCGTACAATACCTACCACATGGGTCCTGGCCTTTGAGAACCATTCTTACACTAATCAATACCTACCACATGGGTCCTGGCCTTTAAGGAACGTTCTGTCACCGTAAAATACCTACCACATGGGTCCTGGCCTTTGAGGAACATCTTCATAGCGTCCTTCATCAGGTCAATCAGTGACGTGGTCTCCTTCTCGGTACAAACGTTACTGGTAGCCATTCTAAGACATTCGGACATGGTATTCACCTCACTGTCAAACAAAATATATTGAACAGGTTAATAAGTCAGAAATTGTTATTTTACTTATTAAAAGGAGCTTATTATATAATTGAATAGATTAGAACTAGTATGGTACATTTTCAGTTTAAAAAGGTTAGATATTGTTTGGTAAGTAAAACAGGTAAGGACGTTTATGGTTAGTAAAACAGTGTTAAACTTTCATGGTTAGTAAAACAGTGTTAAACTTTCGTGGTTAGTAAAACAGCTTTAAACTTTTATGGTTAGTAAAACAGTTTTTTACTTTTATGGTTAGTAAAACAGGTCAAAATCTTGTATGGAAATTAAAACAATTTAAACTTGTATGGTTTATGTTATCATTGCTAAATAGATACGAAATGATTTATGTACGGATGAGGATCGAAGGAGAACATAAAACAGGTTAGAACTTGAATGGCTAGTAAAACAGGTTAGAACTTGTATGTGTAAGTAAACAGGTTAGAAATTGTATGGTTAGTAAACAGGTTAGAACTTGAATGGTTAGTAAAACAGGTTAGAACTTGTATGGTTAGTAAAACAGGTTAGAACTTGTATGGTAAGTTAAACAGGTTTGAACTTGTATGGTAAGTAAAACAGGTTAGAACTCATGTTAGGACAAGATATTATTAGTCACATCAGCAAGAAATGTAGAACTATAACGAAGTAAATATGTACACAATAAGAAATTATATTTTTTTGTCGACAATATATAGTTATGAAGCTGTCCACACCTGCGACTGCCCGACACACAACAATCTGCGATACAAATATCAATCGGCTATATCGACACAAAATTACAGGGTTTCTACATATTTATAGGTTATGTTAAATAAGGGGATATCCTTTTTGTATTTTGAAATTTGCCGTTTTTGTATCCTGATTATAATACTGTTGCAAATTAATTCATTTAAGCTTAAACCATCAAAAGAAACGACAATTATAAGATTTGTTTTTAAACACTTTGGTCATACTGACTTGGATTGCTGAGGTCAAAAATATTCAAAGTGAGGCAGAATTACACTGACCTTACCGAGTCACGCTATCGTTTGTGACCTCATTAATAATCAATTTTATGACGTGTCAGGGTCATTCGGGCCCACTGACATCATTAACATTCGGCATCCGGTCGTCATATGTATACAAACAAGAAAAATATTCAGATGGTATATCGTTGTTAAACTGTCGTCAATTTTATTGATTGACCAATCAAATGCCATGTTACATCTCAAATGAATTAAAAGGATGTATAACTTACCTGCAGAGCTGTGCCTTAGATTGCATGGATGTGTCACTAGTCATGGGATGTTTGGCTTCGCAGTCGCTGAGTTTCCGCAGGGCCACTGGTTTACTGGCACACCCGGCCAACTCCATGATCACTGAAAGAGAGATGGCCAAACGAATCTAATTAAAGACGCAGAAGGAAACCACTCACTCTTCTATTCGGAATAAGATTCATCAGTTTCGTATGAATAATAAAGACTAAGTTTCTTTTCAACACAAACAGGAGTTTGACATTTATTTTGTGAGCTTTTAAAAATGTCAGCTTTCTTTGTTACGCAAAATTGTACAATCAGGGACTAACTCTGAACCGTTTTACCCCTATGTAACTTAAGTAGACTCTACCTTGGATTGATATGGATGTGTCCAATTTTATTTTTTTTGTAAAAAGTGCTAATAGTAATTGGGCCATTGATTACAGGAAACTAGAACTACATTGTCGATGGCACACACCTGCTATCCCCCCAAAGTATATAAAAAATCTGAAAGTGTTGTGCACTCCGATCCTCCATACATATATCTACCATGTCTAAAAGTTTGAAGTTGTTCTTCGAAACATTGGTATTCCTCAAGTCCCTTCCCCCCGTTAAACCATATGCTAAAAAAAAAAAATATTTTTAAAAATATCCGACGCCGTGGGTACTGCTATAGCCCCCCTATTCTTCCAATACACGAGCTAGAAATCAGTTTATTCACTCATTCACCCCCTACATGTTCAAAGTAGACATTCCAAGTCTTTGATTTGTTAAGGTTTAAATGTGGCTTCAGGGGTGAATGGGTCAAGTTTGATAAATAATTTTACCTTCTTTCTTCTCCTTGCAGACAAAGTTCACCATCATTTTCATCTGGTCCATGTGACCAGTCATGTTCTTTACGAGATCGTTATTCTTGCAACCTTCGAACTTGGACTCAAGGCATGTCAACACCCCTTCAAGTGCTCTGTAAAAGCAATACCCCTTACTCTTATGATGGTTGACTTCAAAACATAAAATTACAAAAGTTAACTTGAAGCTGAAGATGAATGATACATACATATACATTCAACAAAAACGTGTTTTCTCCCTATAGTTTCAGCATTCCCGACTCTGCTTAAAATTTTTAACAATTTTGGTTACCCACTAGTGGGTAACACCTTGAACATTGTTTGTTCATTGGTTTTTCTTTGATTTGGACGTCATATAACTAATGATGCTATGTCATGTCATCTTCAACTGTGATGTCATCATTCATGACAATAGGTTCACTGAATCGGAAACAGACATAATGCCTTTCCAAAGGCAACGTATTGTTTTCTAGATATAACATGAATGTTACGGGATACCGGAGAAAAAGGTCCCCAAAATTGTGATAGTTGGTTATCATATTTTTCTGCATAAAACATAACTCTCATTATCTAATTTCAGAGGTGTTAAAGACTTTAATCTCGGTCAACCTCATGTCTTTAAATACAAATATGAACTTCTTTTAGTGTACAATAATAATGAAACAAGTTTTCACAACTTATATTAATCACTCTTATTGGCCGGGTTGTTAGCACACGGAGGGTCTTATTGTGGGAGGAAACCGGAGTACCCGGAGAAAACCCACGTGGTTTGGGCAGGTGACTCAATGCCTTTTCACATCTGATCAAGGAATCAAACCCTGGCCGCCTTGTTGAAAGGCAGCTGTGCTATCTATCCACTGCGCCACCTGACAACCCATTTCAACAATTTGAAAACTAGCTAAACATGATAATAAACCTTCGCTCACTAAGAAACCTCTGTGCAATCATGGTATAAATATGTCTTCATAAGAAAATTGCTTCTATATTATATTCCAAATACAAGGCCTCTCCAGCTAGTTTCTGCTAGGAAAATGTGTACCCAAACATGACAAAAATTCCTCATGGCTTTACGCCTAAAAACACTCCACACATGATATTCATTTAAGATGAATATAACACTCTTTCATACCCAAGAGTGTAGGATTTGGAAATTCCATCCCAAGGTATGTTTATATTGGGAAAATTTGAGGCTTGCGAGGATTTTGCACCCATTTACATCATTTAAAATTTAAATAAATATGTAAATAGGTTTCACTTACCCACACTGACTGGAAACCTGCACAATGGACGACAAGGCCGACTCCCCATCAAATTTTAGGTCCATGGAAACCCCCTGCATGCAGTTTTGTATTCCCATCAAATCGCAACCTGCAAGTGTGATAGTATATTTATTAAGATATTAAGTTTTTGGAGTACTTTATATACCGATCACATTGTGAATAGGGGATATCCACATAATACCGGACACCCGTCACGTGCTGGCTCTATTATATCTTGTAGTCGCTTTATCGACACCATTACCGTACACAGCGGTGTTGAAAACGCTTTAAATAGCTTTTGGGCGATAAATAATTGTAAGAGTTTTGATTGGATAATATATGTGCATTCTTAAATAGAAACAAAACCCCGGACGACTGCCAGGCATATATTACCGGACCCTTCCCGGACAGAGGCATATATCACCGGACAATACTTTTAAGTTATCTAAACTGACAGTTCTGTTATAAATTAATGCAATTAATTACTTGGCTGCTGGTACTGTTATCTTCCAAGTGTTTACTGATATCTTCCAAGTGTGTACTGATTAATTATTTATTATGTACGTTACACGGAGACACGTCATTAAATTACGTACCTTAGATGCTAACAGGACGTTTAACTATATGAAACCAAACAAAACACAATTGTATGTACATGCAATCACTTGTGTGTGTCTATCGTTCATCTCTACAACTTTTGGAAAGCTAGGGCTATAGTGTAGCTGAGTGAGAAGTATGTGTGTGTGTGTGTGTGTGTGTGCGCGTGTGTGCGCGTGCGTAGCCATACCAGGGCTGCAACACTATATCGTACAGACATATATAAAACAATTTGATGCAATAAACAAGAAAGTCACGGTACTTTCTTGTGTATCGCATCGAATCATTTTGATTGCCTGTATCGCAATAATAATACCAACAGTTCTGAAATTATCAATCATTTTTTATCGAACTCTAAAAAGGTGTTCATAAATTTTTTTAATCCTTCATTAAAGATAAAAGTTAGGGTCATACCTATACCCAAAAGTCCTAAAACTATACAAACATACATTTCTTAGTAGTCCATACTTTTCCCTTCATTGTTGATCTTGCAGATGAATCGCTCTGCGAAAATACTACTGTGGCAAAAAAGTACCATGTGTATATAGTATTCTGTTGAAGAGGTACCAGTGAGTTACATAACCAATAGCCTGCTCACCATCTCCTCCACAATATTGGTCAACCATCGCGCCCATCTGATCAGTCTGCATGTTATTGGTCTTGAGGACTTCGGCACAGGCAGGTGGCAGGGTAGCGATACAGGACTGGAATTCTGCATATCCGCTATAGATTTAAATTAATAGTTTGAATGCATTTCATCATTTCACAAACAAGCTTGAGGCCTGAAGCCATTCCAATTCAAGGGTTGGAATAGTTCATTTTGAGTGAATTTCATGGGTGAATGAGTTCATCATGATCAGTGACTTGTTACATAAACACACAAACTGTATACATGTACTGCGAAATTTTCGAAGAGTGAAATTTTCACCCTTCGACAGTAAAATTCGTATTCGCCCTTCACATCTTTTTTCTATATGTATGGTTTGTTGTTTATAACTGTTTATTGTAATGATAAATTCGCCCTCATTACAGAGGGTGAAAAAGGTGGAATTTAACTGCAGCAAAAATATCCCAGTATATAGTACCGGTAGTTTGAAGATCATTGTCATTTACTTTAAATAGTGTCTCTTGAGGGTTCATTATCAGTTACTTGCTTGCCATCCTCGATATCCAGGGGTTACGTTCACTTGTCAAAGCAAAATTGAAGGCACGAAGATAGCTGTTTAATTGGTCGCAGGTAATAAAAACTGACCAATCGCCAGGCCGATACCTGTCCTTTGAAGATTACAAAGGAGAGACGCCCGACTTCAAAGCCTGTCAACCTTTACCGTTAGGTAATCGCCGAGATTCTTTTGATCTATATCAAAGGATCGAACTAGTCTCCTTGTCTCATTACCAAGGTGGCGCGAAACAAGCCTTCAATTCTGCTATGATATATTCCAGGGGTGTAGAAAGCGAAAAAGTGAGCGTAACCCCTGGATATCGAGGATGCTTGCTTGCAGACACTATTGAGTTGTAAACCATTCATTTACACTCTTAAGGTCTTAAACACTCAATGAAGTACTCAAACATACAGTTGAGGTCTTAATCAGTTATTTAATTATAGTAAATGACTTTGAGGGTTTAAACCAGTTATTTAACCCTTTCCACCCCTATGTAACTTTAGTAGACTCTACCATGCAATGATCTGGACGAGTCCATTATGGTCTAGTGGTTAATTGCTAAAAGAGTAAACCAGTTTTTTTATACTAAAAGACACTTCGGGACTTTTTATTTTTAAGTCCATAAAAGCAACTTCTAAGGTCTTTATTCCTTCACAGATTCTCTCCAGGGCCCATATTCATGAAACCGTTCAATTATGGATTCTCTGCTCAAACCAACTTTCTTGCAAATCGCTTAATATCATGTCAAACGATCAAAAATTAAAATGTAAACATTGAAAACTGTTTTCAGCTTTAAGCCTCTTCAAATTGTTTCCAAATAATTGAAAAATCAATAAAAATCAATTTTAATATGTAATGGGAACACTAATTTGGCTTGAGCACAAAATTCATGCTTGAGCATGAGAACAGATTCATGAAAAGGGGCCCTGGTTTTTACTCAGTAGCTTTCTAAACCCTTTCACCCCTGTGTAACTTTAGTACACTCTACTGTGCATTGATCAGGGGGAGTCCCTAATGGTCTGCAGGGGTGGAAGGGTTAACAAAATACAGTTCAAAGATCATGATTATCGGTAAGTTACTTACCTGCAAACTTGCTTGAGTTCTTCCGAGCTGGGTTGGGTGTCGCCCCCAACAATTGCCCCCAGGCTTTGCATGGATGAAGTACAGGCACTCAGAGCTTGCATATCACAGCCCCCATCTTGGCCTCCTGTGTGCATGAAATGAACATTCATGAGACCTTATATATCCATTAGACATGTTTTGTCCTCTAATGACAACTTCAATGAACATGGTACATTCTCGATACTCTAGGGTTACGCTCACTTTCGCTCTCTGCACCTCTAGGATATATGTCATAGCAAATTTGAAGGCACCCATGCCAGCTTTTTGATTGGTGCCGGGTAAAAAAAAACACCTGACCAATCACTATAGGCTTATACCTGTCCTTTGAAGATCACAGATGAGCGTCAAAGCCAGACAATTTTACTGTTACTCAACAGACAAATTCTTTTATTATACATCAAAAGATCAAATTAGTCTTCTGGTCTTATAAACAAGGTTATGCAAACTGAGCTATCAATTTTACTATGACATTTTCCAGCGGTGGAGAAAGCAAATGTGAGCGTAATTACCCCTGGAGTATCGAGGATGCAAGGTGTATGGTATCCTGCAAACTGGGAAATTTTCACTGAAGTTTACTTTTTTCGCCCTCCGTAACGAGGGAGAATTTATCATTACAGGGAACATGTGTAAACAACATAATACACACGTACATAACAATTAAATGAGAAGGGCGAATTTAATATTCGGAGAAAACATATTTAACCATCGAAAGATGAAAATTTGACCTGGCAAAAATTCCCTGGTACAATAATGTATACAGTATTACCTAAATACGGACATTTATTTGGCTACACTTTTTTTTCTTTAATTAGTTTTCTTATTTGAATATTCAACATCCCTATCTCAATCAAAGTTTTTTTTGTTTTGTTTTGTTTAAAAAAAAATCACCAGACCGAAGTCATAAAAAACTTTGAAGGATTTCTGCCACTTTTATCATTATCTTCGGTTTTGGCATTTGAGGCAGAATCTTTAATATGATATTGGTATTACCTGTATTTAATATTCTGAACAACTTGTTTTTAATCACTCGGTTATTTTAGCGACATGTATCGACAGTTCCAACAAATGAATATGGTCACAAAGCTCCCCACCCCTGGCATACATCCTTCTATCAAAATTGATATCAAACGATATTTGAAAATCTTGAAAAAAAATATCTATATATAAAAAGACTTAAATTTTTTGCTCCTTCAATAAGGAATAAAAAAATCTCTTTTATATGTTCCGCAATACTTTGTCTTTGACCGAATGTTTCTGTTTATCCTTTATCAAAACCAATACAATAACAGCGTGTAGAGATTATGGACTTTTACTGTGTATATCACCAAACCCACACTTCGCTAATATGTTCTGTTATCAAAACCATGAAACTGTAAACGTTGCAAAATATCAAGTTCAATACAGTATATAAAAGATAAAGAATTGTGTTGTTTTTGCAAGAAGTCCCTAAGAAAACTTGATGTGTGTATTTGTACATTTGCTATATATTTTACTGTTAGATACAGAAAAAAAACGGTTTGCTAATAATCACATTGCTGATTTGATCTTTTCCCCAAATTTGTGATATTTTCCCAAAACGGTTGGATATTTTTTGAATTTCTGCTTAAACATGGGGATTTCCGAAAAATAGCTGAAAAAAGCCTCTAAAATACGGATATTGCAAACATACCAATTTTATCGCATTCAAATTTCAGCCCATTACCAATTTTCTCATGTGTACATGTGACAGAGCAGCACTTATTGGTACACCGCAAAATCGGCAAAAAAAATCAAAACCTAACAATGAATAGAAAATTTAATTGGTGCAAAAATGAAAGTATGAAAAGCAATAAAATAGAACTACATAATGTATGTATGCTAAAATCAGTAGGCTTGCAGTATATAACCTCCTTAATCTTGTCATGAGTGGCAAGGACAGATATAATATATGTACAAATTGTTTTATATCAATCTCAGACTTTGTTGGTTAGAAGAAAACTAACACGGCACCTCAATTTCTTAAACAATGGGGACAGAAATCAGTCTATTGGGAGCTTTAGAAATAATTGTCTCAGCTAAACTGACCTCCGCCACCACACATGTCTTTCAATGGAGCCAGGTTTGTGGTGTATGGCTGGATCTCGCTAGAACAGGTGTCCGAGTACATGGCTATACACTGCATCATTGCTTTGAATGACCTACAAATAATACAAGTATTTATATGTAAATTCTATCTTTATTCTGAGGAATCTTGTTAGGAAAACTCAGATAGATATCGTATTCACTGTTATTAACACACACACACCTCCCCCCCTCCCCCTCCCCATTTCTGAGAGGAATTGTAATTATAATAACCTCCTAGACGTCCCAGTCAATGATTTATAGTAATTCTATACTTGCACCCCTTTGTAAATTTAATAAACTCTACCATGAATTAATCTGGATAAGTCCGCTAGGATCTTCAGGGTAATATGAATAAAACTGGTTAAAATGGAAAATGAACATTACCACAGAAGAGGGCCCCCAGCTCTATATATTGTCACATTTACAAGTAAAGAAAACAAGGTTACCTCAGAAGGGGAGTCCCAGCTCTATAAATAGTCACAGCTTCATGTAAAGCAAATAAGGTTACCTCAGAGGGGGAGTCCAAGTTCTATATATAGTCACAATATCATGCAAAGAAAACAAGGTTACCTCAGAAGGGGAGTCCCAGTTCTATATATAATCACAATATCATGCAAAGAAAACAAGGTTTCCTCAGAGGGGGAGTCCCAGTTCTATATATATATTCACAATATCATTCAAAGAAAACAAGGTTACCTCAGAGGGGGAGTCCCAGTTCTATATATAGTCACAATATCATTCAAAGAAAACAAGGATACCTCAGAAGGGGAGTCCCAGTTCTATATATTGTCACATTATCATGTAAAGAAAACAAGGTTTCCTCAGAAGGGGAGTCCCAGTTCTATATATTTTCACAATATCATGTAAAGAAAACAAGGTTACCTCAGAAGGGGAGTCCCAGTTCCATATATAGTCACAATATCATGCAAAGAAAACAAGGTTACCTTTAGAAGGGGAGTCCCAGTTCTATATATAGTCACAATATCATGCAAAGAAAACAAGGTTACCTCAGAAGGGGAGTCCCAGTTCTATATATATAGTCACAATATTTAATTACATGTTAGGATAACAAGGTTATCTGAAGGGAGTTTCAGTTCTATTTTAAGTCACAATCACATGCCAGGACAGCCAGGGCCCATATTCATGAAACCCATTCTCGTGCTCAAGCATGAATTATGTTCTCAAACCAACTTTGTCGTACCTTGATTAAATCATGCGACATGGTAAAAAGGTCAAATGTAAATATTCAAAAAGGAAATAGGCTTTAAGTCTTGAGCACAGAATCTGAGTTTGAACACATGCACATTTTCACGAATGCCGGCCCAGGTCATGATCATTAGGTCCTGTTTATACTCACACGCAGGGACCAGCGTTCGGATCTGATGGGGCTGCACTTGCTATGCACTGATTCAGTGCGTTAACGTCACATCCGAACACATTACCTGAAACAAGAGAAAACTAGATCAGCCTCAGAGCGATAAACAGTTATATATAACCCTAGTGTCGGATCAACGAACTAATCTGAACTGCTCATCAATTTTAGGACGAAAGATTGAAGTCTCTAGACGGTAACTTTTTGGTTTGGTTTGTTTGTGTTTTACGTCCTATGGTCATTTAAGGACGTGCCAGGTTTTGTTGGTGGAGGAACGTCGGAGTTCCAGGAGAAAAACCACCGACCTACGGCCAGTACCTGGCGACTGCCTCACGTAGGTCTCGAACCCACGACACAGTGGTGGAGGGCCAGTGGAAGCATTACGGTAGCTACACGGTAAACTTGGCAAAGTGCATCGTGGAATCTCCAGAGGTTAAGCAAAGACCATAAGCAAGCTGACTTCTGGATTTCGATGATGTGGTAATGGTGATTCTTAACAATTTTAAGTTATATCAACATAACTTCAGAGTTTGAAATTAATACGCCAGATATTGACCTTAGTAACAAAACGCAACACAAACACATTCCATGTATTTTCGGTGCGCTTGGCACAGCGAAACACAAACTCTTTCGAAATATCCTCATACTTACATGTATATAGTTAACAACTGAATGACGTTATTTCAAAATTCATTCAGAAGTTGAAATTGATATGCCAGACGTTGACCTCAACACAGTGAAACACAAAATCTTATCCTGAACGATTGTCATGAAGCTTCATCAACCATTCTGAAAACACTTCCCAGGATGGTGAGCTTGGCGAAGTGCAATACACAAACACATTCCGTGTAACTTTCATCTTAACCATTGTATCATGTGTTTAATACGTAAATCCGTTCAGAGTCGAATTTGCTGACGATGACTTCCGCACAGCGAAACACATTCTTTGGAGATGAAACCATTGTTAGTTAAACAATTGACGAAGTTTGATAAATAGCCAATGACAGCGTAATAACTCGCTGAAGTGCTGATAACTTCGGAAAGAGACTATCAGATATTATATTATTGACCTAATTATTGAATTACCATTAGGTATGTATACATTGTACATGTATATTTAATTGCTATACCTAATAAATGTGCGAAATTTAAAAGAAAAAAAAAATGTTGTGACTTTTTTAATGACCTGTTTGACCTGTTGTTTAACTGAGTCAAAGAAACAATCTTGTTATAATTACTAGCTAGTAATCTATACACTTGTGTTGTCACAGAAACAATAAAATGTATTGTCCTCCATAAATAGTACATTAAGCCACTTTATTTCCTTACAAGTTAAAAACACACAAATAGTGACATTAGTACTTATTACGAGTCTATGGTTGTGTGGTCTTCAAAACTACAAATGTAGCATATTATACAAGCGTACCGTGTTTGTAGCCTATTGATTTGGCGCTTGGTAATTCTACAAAAAGGAGCTACATATAACTTGTCCACACTTTTGGAACTACTTCTTTGCCCCATATACATATATATCCATATATACATAATTAAAGATTTACCATACGGTGCGTACAATTATCAGGGCACCATGTGTCAAGACCGCATTCTCGAAATTACAGCAGTTATGTAAATGATTGTAACCACAGGGACCTGAGAATTTGTTACAGCTATATTTGGACTTAAGCTAGGATGTTTAAGAGTAATTTATACGTTTTAGTGTTGTTGTTTTTTTTATCAATTTTCGGTGAAATTGCCACCCCCCC